TGGTGTGGGCCGGGCTACTAGATAACCTCCTAGGCTACTTGCTGGTGTGAGGAATCGAACTGCGGAGCCTCGAGCAAGGTGAATTGGGAGAGCGGGAAGTGTGGTGCCCCAACTGCTGCCATGTCGTGGAGAGACACACGGGCAGGCCAAGCGGGTTAAAACAGAGCGGTACAAGCACGTGCTCCTAGCTGACAAGGCAGGGAAGAGCTTGGCGTGGTGCGCATGGCCTGAAGCGGCAAGACCCAAGCAGGACATGCAAGATAGAGGAGTGTCACCTCGGCACTGCGACTGGGACCGGATGGCCACGATGCGGCGGTAGCGGCACTAGCTCACGGTAGATGAACCAGAGGGCGGGTAGGTGAAATGTGTCGCTAAGACGCACACCACATCGGCAGACGGCGACCGCCGTGGCGTTGGCCTGGACCTACGCGTGGCCTAGCGGCACGGCGCGGGTTGGCCAGCAAGAGGCAAGGAGAGGCGAGAGACACGCCACGCCATTAGTTGGCTCGCAGGGAGAAAGCCACAGCCGGCAACAGCCGAGCCCGGCGTTCGCCACGCGCGTGCACACGGTGACCGTGAACTCCAGCCGAGTGGCTGCTATCAATGACGCACACGAATTTTAAAGTGAACCAAAGGCTGTCGATTAACTCAACTAAATCCCAACTAACTACGCTAACCCGAGGCCGGTACTACCCACCAGCTTGCGAAGCAAACCTCATGCCCCGAGAGCAACTAGAGAGGGAGATAAAAGCATGCCAAAACGAACTCGTCGTGTCGGCGCCAGTTCGCGAACAGGCCCCGAAACATGATCCGTCACGCGTTCTAAGGGATCAGGGTGGGCGTTCGGTTCTCGGTTCGGTTTCGGTTCGGTTCCCTCGGTTATCGAAGAAATTCGGTTCCTAGAAAACGGGAACCGATCGGTTCCAAAATTTTTAGGAACCGAGCATTTCGGTTCTCGGTTATTTCGATTCGGTTCCGGTTCTAACCGAACTAACCAAATTTTTCAGAAGACCTCAAGACAATAATAAATATACTTGTTCTAATGCAAATTTATGAAACACTATATTTATTTTTAATAATAATAATATATAAGAAAACAATAGCAATATAGTAACATAAATATATAGCAGTTCAAATATAAAACACTACATATAATCCTACAAAATACAAGTAAGTGAAGTATAATTCATGTAATTCGATTCTTTCGATTAATTCGGTTAACCGAGAGTGGGAACCGAATTTTCTTCGGTTATTTTGGTTCTTCAATATTAGGAACCGAATAAGGAACCAAATTTTTCGGTTTCGGTTCTTTCGGTTTCGGTTCTGGTTCTTTCGGTTCGGTTTTCGGTTCTCGGTTATATTTGCCCAGGTCTACTAAGGGGTTTTGGGTAATTTTTACGAGTTCCACGTGACAACCAACACAAGTTCGACCTACTCCATGCTCATGTACTCACTTTGATGCAATCGACAATACCAAAACATGCATCTAGTGTTTAAACATTTTTTTAGAAATTAAATGTCAAAATAGCATTGTCTTACTACTTTTCCATACTTAAAAAATTAAGGATTTCAATTGAGGTTAAGTAACCATTAACTCTTTTGTCGCAATTTTTAATAGATCTAAACCTTGTTAACTTCAACCAACAATTACTTCATGTAATAGTCCATACCTTATACTAACCCGTAGGAGCAAAATATTTAAGCACTATTTAACTATTTTGCTCAATATAATTTGCCAAAAATGGTACTTTAAACATAAATTTAAGTGTTCGCCGACTTAACGAAAAAGACTTATCTTAATTCAAATTTGATCTGTGAGCTCCCAATAACACTAGCTAACCACATTTGTTTTCACAAATTATAGTTGCATCTTTAACTACACCACTTGCTCGTCATCTTTACTTAAGTATTACATACAAGTTATATTTTATTTTTATTTATATAAATTGTTTTTCGTGCTAAACAATTAAAACGACTTATCATTTCATGTGCGTCATAAATTTCTAAAACCCATCCCGTACCTAAATCTCAGTGCTAAGCAAGCTAGTAACACCAGGGGTGTTATATAACCAAAGTAACAAGACACAAGCTTGCTCTCAAAACTAGTTACACTAAAGAGCTTAGCTACATTAGAAATGTAAATGCAAGAAAGGTAGTGAGGGTTATACCGCCATGGCAAAAGACAATCAATCAATCAAACACAATGAATACCAATGAAATCCTCGGAGACAATGATGACCCAAAGATTTTTCCTCCGAGCTTCACTTGCTTGCCGGCAAGCTACGTCCCACCCACTTGAAGGTTCACGCTCTAATAGACTTCACACGCCTAACCCGCAATCAGGTGCCGCACAACCAACATAAGATTGGGATCCACAAGCTACGAGCAATCCACTATAGTACATTTCGACTCTCCGCCAGGGAAAGGTCAAGAACCTCCTCACAATCACCACAATCGGAGCTAGAGACAATCACCTTCCTCCGCTCGACAATCCTCGCTGCACCAAGCCATCTAGTGGCGGCAACCACCAAGAATAACAAGCGAAATCCACAGCGAAACACAATCACCAAGTGCCTCTAGATGCAATCACTCAAAGCAATGAACTCGGATGCTCTCCGATCTCACCAAATGATGAATCAATCAAGCTAGATGAGTGAGAGGAAATAGCTAGGCTCACTAGGGTGTATTCTCAATAGAAATGGCCAAGAGAGTGAGCCCTGGACGGCCAAACCACTTATATAGGCACCCTCACGAAATAGAGCCGTTAGGGTCAAGGTGGGTGCCCCTACGTGATGACCGGAGGTACCGGTCGGGTCGACCGGATGCATGACCTAGCGTCCGGTCCTTGGATTCACGCCACGTGCCTCCTCGATTCAACCAGCGCCGCGCGATCCCAACTGTCAAGTCACAGTGCCAGCGCGGTTAAGTGACGACCGGACACGCCCGAGGAACGACCTGACGTGCCCGCACCGCGTCCAATCCTCGCGCGCCCTGCGCCAAGAGACAGTGCTCTGACGGCCTGAAGGCTGACTAGATGTGCGCCCTACGTGGCATCCGATCACCTTCCAGAAAGCATGTAGGACTAGATTTTTGCGACCGGACGCGTCGGATCGAGGGTGACCGGACGCACCCCTGAGTACGGCCCTCTCTGTGCTCGATCGACCGCCTGTGTCATTGTACGTCAGCCTGACCGGACGCACCCACTGCACGTTCAATCCTTCCTCTTCGCCAGCGTCCGGTCAAAGGACCGAGAGCGCTTTTCACTGCGAGCAACTGATCGGACGCAGTTGCTTGAGTCCGGTCGCTGCCAAAGCAGCGTCTGGTCATCTCGGGACAGCTCCTCCACTTCTCAAACTTCACCCTTACTCAAATGTGCTAATCACCAAGTGTATCACCTTGCACGTGTCTTAGCAACTTTTAACAAATATTTTCAAGGGTGTTAGCACTCACTAGAATCTAAATGCATATGCAATGAGTTAGAATATCTAGTGACACTTTGATAAATCGCATTTCACGACGAGTTTCACCCCTCTTAATAGTACGGCTATCTATCCTAAATGTGATCACACTCTCTAAGTGTCTCGATCATCAAAACAAAAAAGCTCCTATCAAGTATACATTTGCCTTGAGCCTTTTTGTTTTTCTCTTTCTTCTTTTTCAAGCTTTGAGCACTTGATCATCACCATGGCCTCCACCATCATCATGATCATCATCCACTTGCTCCTCCACTTCGATTAGGACTATACCCTATCTCATGTACACTTAGAGCAAAAAGGTTAACACCTAGGGTTTCATCACTTCACCAAAACCAAACTAGAGCTTTCATCTGTGCCTGCGCCGCCGCTGCGCCCGTGCTCGCCCGTGCCCGCGCCATCGTTGCGCCCTCGCCCACCCGTGCCCACGCCGCCGTGATTTGTTACTTGTGGTTTGTGCCGACATAGCTGCTATTTGTCCTTGTCATTTCATAGAAAAAATTGTTTGTTGTGATTTGTGCTTTTTGATTTGTTGTTGCTTGTGATTTGTGCCGACACAGCCACGACCAAGGGCGGGGCGGTGGCGGGGCGAGTTCTGCGGCTTCTGAAGGTAGAAGAAGGCTGGAGGTAGAAGAAGGTCAATGATAGAAGAAGGCCGGAGGCTGTCGGATCTTCATCCGGCTGTTGGATCTTCATCCGACTGTTGGAAAAAACGTATGTTGTAACTGCATAAAACATATGAAAGTCAGGTACACATACTACTAAAAAACATGTAGGAAAGACTTGATGGATCGTGCCAAATTAAGTCCATGGCTAGCCATCAAACGTTCCAAAGCAGCAGTGATGGATCAGAACAAAGTAAAACCTCAGTTGTCACCGTGTCGTGGATTGGCGGCACGACGGCGGTGGTAGTGGTACCGAGCTGCCGCGCGGCCGACGGTTCTGGTGATCAGTTCACACTTCACAGTGAGCGTGTACGTGGCGCCGTGGTCCGTGGTGGCCGCGCCCGCGCGCCGTCGTCCTCTCTTCCGGTCCCGACTGACGCCCTCGGGCAGTCGGGCGTCAACAATACCTGGGTCTCGTCCGGGGCCGCCGGGGTACGCGTCGTCCTGATGCGTACTCTCACGGTGCCATGGCTCTCGTTTAGTCGCATTTTTCCTGCCAGCGAGTCTTGCTCTTGAAAGGATAACATAGGACAGCCGCCTAGTGCCTCCCTATAGCTGGCTAGCTAGCCATGGACTATGGCACGAGCGAAGGATTGACATAGCAAGTCTGTCGTACATGTCGGGTCTTCAAGCTGCGAGCTAGCGAGCTTATTAAGAAGCACGCCTATCGATCGCTAGCTATCAGCAGGAAGTATAAGCCGGAACAGGCCGAATCACATATATAATAGCTAGATAGCAAAGTTCTTCCCTAGGCAGACAAGTGATGGATGTAACTAGATCTCACTTGTCACCGTCTCGTGGATTGGCGGCGGCACCACGGCGGTCGTTCCGAGCGGCCGCGCGGCCGACGGTTCTGGTGACCATGGTGAGCGTGGTGGCCGCGCTCCTCATGGCCGCCGTCTGCGGCCGGTTGATGCCATTCAGCGGCGGCAATACCTGGGCGCCGGCGGGAGTATAACGCGCACGTACTTGCGCTGTTGCGCAGGGCTTCGATCGTGACTGTGCTGCTCGCTTGCCAATTACCGCTGACAAGCGATGCATACATATAGCATCATTTGTCGGCAACATACTGATCTTTATCGCGCGAAGGTATCAGATCAGCAACATGCATGCTTGCCGCCGATAATTGTATCATTGTGCACAAGCACAACTGCACAATATGATTTTTTTTGTCTTCGGAAAAAAAATTCCTTTTGGCGATTAATGTGGCAAGAAACTGCAATCGACTACCATTCCACGTGCATGAAAGTTCATGCAATTGCTTCTCTCTCTCTCTCTCTCTCTCTCTCCTCTCTCCTTAATAAATAAGAACTCAAGAATTGATCGCCTTGTCTGCATGCTGCTTGGGAGTGTCCGACCAAGGTGCCGGACCATTGGCGACAGTGCCGGAATCCCCGCGACCGGCTTCTAGGCGGCCTCCTCTCCCCGGACTTTGATGACAGCTCCTGCCTCAGCCGCTACCGCGCCGCGCTCTACCGCCGGCCGTCACTGCACGCCATCTCCTCTCACCTCGTCTCCGCGCTCCGCCGTTACGAGTCGCTGCACCGCCACTGCGGCCCAGGCACCCCTGCCTACGCCTACGCGCGCGCCATCGAACGCCTTCTTTTGCCGCCGAACGGCTCTACTACCTCAGGGTGCAGCTACGTCGTGTGGAACCCGACCGAGGGCCTCGCAACCGCATCCTCTCCATCGCCTCCGCCTTCCTCTACGCGCTGCTCACCGACCGCGTGCTCCTTCTCCACCGCAGCGGCGCCGACCTCGACGACCTCTTCTGCGAGCCATTCCCGGGCTCCACGTGGATCCTGCCAGAAGATAAAGGACGACTTCCCTATCCGTGGCATCGAGCAGCTCAGCGACCGGAACCACCACGAGAGCCTCGGCTCCGTGCTGAGGCGCGACGAGGATCCCGGCACGGCGCCATGGCTGTACGTGCACCTGCGGCACGACTACATCAGCGGGGGCTACCACGACCAGCTATTCTTCTTCGACGACGTGCAGGCCCAGCTGAGGCGCGTGCCGTGGCTCGTGTTCCTCTCGGACAACTACATCGTGCCGGAGCTGTTCCTGATCCCACGCCACGAGGGGGAGCTCGCGCGGATGTTCCCGCGCCGCGACGTCGTGTTCCATCACCTCGGCCGTTACCTGTTCAATCCGAGCAACACGGTGTGGGACATGGTGACGCGGTACCACTACTCCTACTTCACCAAGGCGGACGAGCGCGAGGTGCGCATGTTCCCGTGGTGGGCGCCCATCTCCACCGACGAGCTCTACGGCAGATCCTCAACTGCTCGCAGCGCGAGGACATCCTGCCCGGCGTCGGCGTGCCCGCGGACGACAAAGCCACCAGCGCCGGGCAAGTCTCCAGCGGCCAGCCGGCAAAACAGAAGGCCGTACTCGTCATGTCCCTGCACGGCGAGTACTCTGAGAAGCTCAGGGGCCTGTACCACGAGCACGGACCATCGGGCGGGGAGGTGGTGAGCGTGTACCAGCCGACGCAACTGGGCTGGCAGCAATCCGGCGAGCAGCGGCACAACCAGAAGGCCCTCGCGGAGATGGTGCTGCTCAGCTTCTCGAACGCGGTGGTCACCACCGCCGTCTCGACATTTGGATACGTCGGCCAGGGGCTAGCGGGTCTGAGACCGTGGGTGCTCATGAGCCCCGTCGATGGCAAGGCGCCTGACACGCCGTGCCGGCGCCCCGCTACCATCGAGCCGTGCTTCCATGCGCCGCCGAACTATAATTGCCGGGCCAAGGTCAATGGTGACTCCGGCAGGATGGTGCGCCACATCCGACACTGCGAGGGCTTGCCGCAGGGTGTGCAGTTAGTGGAGCGATTAAAAAAAAAAGAGTATGTCTAGTGAACAACCATGTATTTTAGCAAAAGTCAACACTCAGTCTTGGCTGCAAGTAAAACACACGATTTCCAACATAGTTATATCTGTGTGTTTCAGAAGCAACTAGCACTCGATTGTTAAATCCATCTAAAACACTCGATTTCTATCAGCACCAAAATTCGGTTGTTTCAGAAAGCACTAGTACATGAATTCTAGCACCTTCGGCTCTATTTAAATCAAACGGCTGCACCTCTAATTGCATTGTTATCTGGTTCAGGAAGCTCTGGCTCGCCTTCAGATCTACCTCAGCCGGCCGGCATCACCTCCGGGTCACTGTCTATCATCTAAAGATTGGTTGCATCAAAAGGACCAGTTCAGTTTCTTGTCAGTTGTTATACTGCATCAACAAAGGAGTTAGCAGTCAATGAATGGAGTCCTACTTTCTAGTTCTCACGAAACTTTATAAAATAACAAAAAAATGCCAACCCTAAACCAAGCACATAATAACCACAGAAAAAAACAAATATGAGATGCATATAATTTAGTCGTAATGAATATGATGAGATGTTCTAAAAAATATTTAACCACACGTAATGAGATGTTCTCAATAAATAAATGCACAATAAATATGATCTTCAAAAGTTACAAAACATAAATATAAAAATTGCACATTTCAATTTGTGCAAATGGTACTTGTTGTTAATGCAATTATATTGTATATGTATATAACTACAAAATCCGGCTCATGCATGTGGAAAAAATAGAACATATTACAAAAGATCAAGAGAAAGGTACCATCTTGCATCTCACTAACACAATAAAAGATAGTTGTGTGCAACTCAAACTAAATTTGCTTCCAGTAGTTGTCCATCAGCCCATCATATGCACTACTAAAAAAATTCTGAAACAGGCTTGGTACATGATCAAACTTTACAAGATAAAATGAACTGGCCAGGTGTTCTAACTTCAATGGCTAGCTCTAACTAAAAAACCCTTAGCCGTTCCATACAGAAACACATTGAGAGCAAACTTACAAGCACTAGTTGTAACTAAAAAAAGAAATATGGTTGTCGTTCCATACAGTAACACAAAAAGGCATTTTCAGCAACTAATTCAGAAACTAGTAACATATAGGATTCACATTCACACTTAACTGAAAATTTAGAACAATGGACTGTGGTTGTGATTGCAATTAAGTAACTAAATTTTATATTTGTCTTGTTTTCATGAGCAGCAGGTAATAATAGTAACAGAGCATTTAGCTGCAAAATTGTGGTCGTATTCCAAAATTGTATGAATCTATCCGCGGTTCTTCCACCAGATGCAAGCAGGTCATGGACAAAGGGGAAATATTACTATAGAAAAACAACAATGTGGAATCCTAAGAACAATGCATTCCAAACTAACAAGAAACGGACAGGTATCTTACTCTGTTATCATTGCCACCTGATGCAAGCTGACGATTGTCATAAGACCACTTGAGTCCATAAACCTGGAAGATATGTGAGATTAGGGACCATACGTTACCAGAAAAGAAAACTGAAGTATCACTAGGATAATGTTTATACTTGAGAATGGGACATAACCTGAACTTTTCCTTGATTTGTGCCTACAGATAGGTGAGTGCCACAGTGCGTCCAACCCATAAAACAAACATTGTCATCCACCCCGAAATCACAAAACTTGGTGACCTAGACAATGATACACCTGTTCAGAGAAAGCCAGCCCTTATGCTACTGCTACTGTTATTGCTACTGCTACTGAATACAGAGTGGAAATAGAAACAGACACTTAATGCTTGTCTCATCCTAATTTTTAACACAAAGCAGAACTACGCCTCGCCAAAAATATGTCAGATGGGGCCAAGCTACCATGTCCCTCACTTGTCTTGCTTGTTGCAAAGCTGCAACCTGCAAATGAACAAAAGACAAAAGAAAATAAGTAGCTGGACAAAATGGCTGCTACAAGAAACTATAAATGCAAAACTATCAGCAAGCTGAAGTTAACATGCACACTATTACAAGCAGACTGCTACAACTAAGGAAAAACAAGACTAAGGATAGCTAATTACAGTAGTAATAGTAGTATAGACAGAGCTGTCATTGCTACTAAATTACTGCTCATGTCAATACACTTGATGTCATTGCTACTAAATTACTGCTCATGTCAATACACTTACACACAACTGCTACTACCATAACACGAAGGAACAAAACTAATTAGATAACCTAAACAGCTATATAAAAGATAATGAGAGGTAGAAAACTGCACAGATAGCAAAGTTATTTGATTGTTGTTGCTACTGAACAGAATAAGAACAGCAGGAAGCCTACCTACTTACCTTGTCGAAGTCCTGCTGCTGCTATCTGAAAATCAGGGAAGGCTACAAGTTAATTGCTTACTGCTGCTACTGAAATTAATAGGAACAACTAGATCCTGCACAGACAGAAACACAAATGACAAAAATAAGATGTGTGTTGGCACAAACCAGAATTAACAAAGTTCATGAAGTGTTAGCACAAATCACAAGAGACAATTTTTTTATGAAAGGACAAGGACAAAAACTTGGCTTGGGAAAGACACAAATCACAATAAAAAGAGGACAAGGTGTGTTAACACAAAAGCTCTCACTCGCGTTCATGTCTACCTCAATCATCACCTCCAAGCCACTGACCCTCATGTCAAGATTGGTGAAATGAGTTGCGACAAAAATCAATAAACACATTACGATTTTTTCTATAGTATGATAGACAAAATACTGAAATGTGTTGCCACAAATCATAAATAATTCAGGCCCCACGAATTCAATATATGTTGCACCTACAAAAGAAGAGCCCCCACAACCAAGCACACCATACCTGGAAGAGAATCCCAAATGAGCTTGTACCCACGACATGTTCTACCATGTAACTGATGATCTATATTTAAGCTCGGAACAAGAACAACACATGAGCTATTGAAGACAAGATGAGGCTACCAAAAGTAAGCAGGCTACCATCTAACTGAACCACGTTAGAGCAATATTATTTGTCATCAAGACTAGATATTGCACATGTTGGGTACCATAATTGCTGAAATTGAAGTATGCAATTTACTACTTATAAATGTGCAATGAAGAAATGAATACTAAACGTAGCTTTCTTGTACAGTATATGCAACACACAGTTAAAATATATGAGAGCTCCTACTATTCTACAGTATATGTACAGAATCAAGACATAATATATAGCTGAATGATATCTCAGGGTCAGTACCAAAATGTGCACGCCTCACTCTAACTCAAAAAGACTTACCCAAGGCTATACACAGCTGAGTGGAGCATGTCAATCTTCTAGCTTCACCGCTGAGAGCAAAAACATTCACAATTAACATATTACAATTTATTTATATAGTAAGACAAAAGAAGCATACAAAACCATCCTCAAATATGTCAATCAGCTGGTAGTCAGTATGGTTAACATGGGGCACCTATAGTTATGCGATAAGGGCACAATATACTCAAGCTTCTTCCCATTGAAAATGGAAAATGGACACAAAGTTCCATTTGGCGTGCCCGTGCTTCCCTGTCTTGGAAGTGGAGAACTAAACAACCTGCAATAAAAAGATAGGACAACGACAAAAACTTGGCTTGGGAAAGCACAAATCACAATAAACAAACGAAAAGGTGAGTTAGCACAGAATCACAAGAGACAATTTTTCTATGGAAAACAAGGATAAAAACTTGGCTTGGGTAGGCAAAAATCACAATAAAAAGAGGAAAGGGGGTGTTACAAAGACAGAAAAGAGGTGTGTGTTGCCACAAATCACAATTGATAAACTTCAAGATGTGTTAGCACAAATGACAAAAAACAATTTTTTTCTATGAAATGACAAGGACAAAAATGAGATGTGTGTCGGCACAAATCACAAGTAACAAAGTTGAAAGATGTGTTACCACAAATCACAAGAGACAATTTTTTTTCTATGAAAGGACAAGGACAAAATTTTGGTGTGGGCTGACACAATCACAAGAAACAAAGGACAAGGTGTGTTAGCACAAATCACAAAGGATAATTTTTTTTCTATGAAAAAACAAGGACAAAAACTTATTGTGGGCAGGCACAAATCACAATTAACAGAAGAAAATGTGTGCTAACACAAATCATAGGAGACATTGTGAGTTTTATCATATACCTTGGCAGAACCAGTGCTGCTGGGAATGATGTTAAAGCTGGTAGCCCTGCCACCTCTCTAGTCCTTGGCTGGGAGTCCATCAACAGCCTTCTCGGAGGCTTAAAGACAAGCATCATGTTGTCATTTTACAGCAAAATGGATTTGGGATCTGGAAGAACATGATACCCAAACAAGTGAAACAGCATGCACATTCTGAAACAAATAAAGGACCGTGAAGAAAAATTATACCTTCAGATGCATAGCAGCCTTGTCCTTGTTAGTGAAGACACCGGTGGACTCCATGACATAGTTGGCACCAGCCTCACCCCACGGGATCTAATCAGGGTTCTTGTAGAATTAAAGCAATTCAAGCATCAGCTCACAAGCTCAAAGCTAAAGCCTGAACAAATAAACTCAATCCATGTACAAAATAAGCAGGAGAGAGTACATGAGAGTACCTATTGCTAAAGGCGGTGACCGACTTGTCAGTTGTCACTGAAGAGGAGGGTCTTGGAGTCCTTTGAGGGTGATGTCACTGTGCTTCCAGTAAAATGGTGCTTGAGCCTGAACATATGGCAGATGAAAAAATAACATGTACCTGTCAGCCAATACCATAGCTAAGAACAGAGGGTGAGATTAGTGTAGCACTAGCATACCTAGAGACAGCAATGAAGGCCCCAGTGCACTACAAACAAAAGGAATAGCCAGTTAGTGAGATCATTATTATATCACCGTACAAACCTACATATAGCAATAATGTGCTATAATATTTGTTTTTTTCTAAGAGCAGCGAGCTAAACCTCCACGAGAGCAACAAATGATGTTGCCATCATTGCAAAAGCTTCACCCGCATCAAAAGTTGGAGCACCCCACTGAAAGGGATATTGAACGCAAAATGTGGAGGCATATAACAGATTCAACCACAGAGACAAGCTTCCTAAACATATGTTTTTCCTACTTAATCAAATGTAAAAAGGAAAAAATAGTGATAAAGTTATTTATAAAGACTAGATATTGACATATTACACACAATAATTGCAGTATTTGAACTATGCAATTTACTACTAATAAATGTGCAATCAAGAAAATGGTGCTTCTACATAAAAGAATAGAATGAAATCACAGTTCAGTAGAATTCTGATGTAGTTTGCAGTATAAATTCACCATCCTCCATAGCTACATAACAAAAAATAATAAAGTTTAATCATATAGTGTTTGAATAAAATATTTAGATGCAACCTCATTGTATGAGTCCACTACAACCTC